AACGGATATTTCGTTGTACAATCGAATAAGCGTCCAATTGTTTCCGACGTCTAGCCGCCCCCATCTTGGCAAGGTATGCTCTACAAGCACTTTGAAACATACACATTAAATCGTTCATACATTTATCACGTAATTCCTCAATATGAGCCAAAACTCCGGCCTTGAAAAAAACTTTGGTGTGTCCAACTTTAAAGTTTTCTGCTTCAAGACTTTTGGCATTAACTAGCTTTTCAAGAATATTAGCACTAGAAACTTTTGGATCGGTACTGGAACGCGCCTCTGCAGCAGCCAGAATTCCGTAGCGAACTTTAAAGTCGTTGTGAGGTAATCTGTTTGGAAAGCCTTTTCGACAAATTCGAATTCCTTCTAGCACACCATTACCTGAAAACGAAAAAATTTTTAAATATTAAGTCAAATTATTATATTATTTTTTCATCAGTAAGGAATTGTAAGGATCTCTGATGTGATTTTTCATGAGGATTTCATTGAACTCTTATACATAAATATAACTTAATTGGCCAGAAAATAATCCTTTTAATTCACTCAATATCAGGACTAGTTACATGTTTACTAGTACTTACACGTCAACTGATTTAGAACAAGAGCAGCATCAATCATTCCAGATTGTTTCTTTTCATTAGGAATAATACAACGAATAAAATGTGGATGTGTTTTGTGTAACATATTCATTAAATTATTTAAAGATTCTCTATAAAGCATTGAAACAGTCATAAAAGATCCAGATTTTCCTTTTTTCTTTCCTCCACCACCTTTTTTATTAGCTTCTGCTGCTTCTTCCTGTGTTTGATAATCAGCCCATATATCAATAATTAGTTGATTTCCTTTAGCATTTTTCATTACAGAAACTAATGTATCATTTAATGGATCTTTATTTTTTTCTAACCAATTTATCACATTATAACGAACTGAAAATAATTGGAGGGTATTTGAGGAAATTAATAATTTTGGGAAATTTTCTTATGCTTTTTGTTTAATTTTTGGATCTTTTCATCATTTCTGATCCACTCAAAAGGACCATGTTTTTATCACTCCCCACAGTAAGAAGGAGAGTTGTTGGGAGATTAACCTTCCCTCCTTTTTGATTTTTAATTTAATAAAAACAAAAAATTTTTTACCTGTCCCAGCATAGTGACGCATTGCAAAATGTGCTTCTCCTTGTTTGCCTTTTGGTGGTTTTGGTTTTTCAAAATTGGGATGTTTGCCTAAATGTTGGTCACCCAATTTTTGTGCATAAGTAAGGTCAGATGCTTTTGGAACAATACATTCTTCATCCAACATTGAAATAATTCCTGAAATAAAAAGAAGATTGTTAAACAGAATTAAGGAATAAAAATGATTGAGAAAGGGATAAGATTTGGAGCTTTAAAAAAGTAATAACTGAGTTCAAATTCTGGAATTACTCGCAGTTATTGTTAGGCATTCACCATGTGTAAATAACTCTACAATGACAAATGAGAGCTACTCGGGTTATGGCCTTGTTTTCTCTCATATGTACCTCAAACTTAATCAGTTTCAAATACTTGCCAGCTGAATCTTCCCTTCTTTATAATAATTTAAAAATATATTCAATTAACCAACCCATAGGTTTTTCAATTAATTCAATACATGCTTGTAAATCTAATCCAAAATCTATAAATGTCCAAGCAATTCCTTCACGTGCATACTCTTCTTGTTCTAATACGAACATATGATGATTAAAAAATTGTTGTAATTTTTCATTAACAAAATTAATCCAAAGCTGTTCAAAACTATTGAACTACATATAAATAAGTAAAAATATATTTTTAAATAAATTAATTTTTACATCAAAAATTTCAAATCCCGCAATATCCAAAACACCAATAAAAGAATCTCTTGAAAGTCCTTTTTGGTCTAATGTTAAATTACATTTTTTGACTAGCCATTCAAATACTCGGGCATATAAAGCTTTTGACATTGCCCCAATTGCCCAATTAACTTGATCGAGATTTTGGCCTTTAGAAACCCATTCACTTCCTACACGTACACGAGGTTTAGTTAAAGCTGTTAATTGTTGCTGAACAAATTAATTAAAATATTTAAATTAAATAATTAAATACCTCCATATCGATACCAAAATTTTCCGCAGCATAATTTGCCTCTTCTGTTTCATCTGGTTCAGCCTGTTCTTCTCTAGGTCTTTGTTTAAATTTCATATTTCCTTTTATTCAAGATTAATAATAATTTTTTAATTAAATAATTAATTACCCATATGCATTATTCCTCCCATCATTTTATAACAATCGTTTTTCTCTGTTTCACTGAAATTTAATACATCAAATGCTTCATCTGTTAATTTGAATTCTTCCTTAAATTATAAAAAAACAATAAGTACATATTGAAAAATTTTCCTGTATACATATCTATAATTACTTAAATCCCTTTATAAGTACATTTCTTAATAATATAGACCCCTATATAATTGAAATGTTTAGTCTCTGCTGAGAGCATGTTTAAATATTTTTAATGAGACTCTTCACTTTATAAGTAACATCCAAATTCTTTAATTACTCACTTTATCATCAATTCCATCAATTGTCAATTCAGCCTGAGCAACAAACCAATATTCCTTTAATGGTTTATTTAATTTTAATTTTTTCATTAGATCAGGCTTGAAGCCAGAACAAATTTGGTAAAAAATATGATAACAACGTTCGCCTGGAGCTTGACGAATTACTCGAGATTTTTCCAATAGATCTATTAAAAAAATAAATTTAAATTTTTTAATCAAATTCTGCAATTTAAGAAATATGGTAATTAATTAATTAAGAATAATTTTGGAATTTTATTTTTAATAAATAATTAATTATACTAACAATGTTCAATATCACAAGAAGCAACCCTTCCTGCTCTATTAAAATGTATTCTAATAAATTTTCCGAATCTAGATGAATTATTATTTCTGACAGTTTTTGCATTACCAAAAGCTTCAAGTACGGGATTTGTTTGGACCTTTCAAATTATAATAATTTTTTTCCTCAAGAAAAAAACAAACAATTTGGTCTTCCAAAGTAACCATTTTTTGTTTTGGTTTATCTTTAGCTGCCTCTGCTTGGCTTGCACCCACAGAAGCAAAATAAGCAATTACCTTTTTAATTATTTAATTTAATTATTAACTAAATTAATTAGGTACTTTTTTTGTATTTTCAGTTTTTCCAGCACCTGATTCGCCTATTTAATATTAAAAAATAATTATTTAATCTTTCCAAAATATAGTTTAATTTAATACCAGTAATCAACATAGATTGATTTTCTTTATTTTGAAGCATATTTCGATACGCTTCGTCGGAAACAGCAAATAAATGTGGAGGCATTTCAGTTCGACGCTTTCCCATGTAAAATCTGGCTACAGAATCTGTATATATTGGTAGACGTTTGTAAGGGTTAATGACAACACAGAAGAGACCAGAATATGTCTATTAAATATTGGAATTTTTAATTTTAGTTTAATGTTGAAGTTTTCAAAAACTTGGATCTCAAAAATTCTTAAAATATTTTTATTTCTTAATTCTGAATCACCTAAACCTCAAAACAAATCCTGCTTAAAAATACTCCAAGAAAAAAATAAAAGAAACCAACATAAATAAGCATAGCTTTATATCGAGCTCTTAAATTATACAAAACAGAAGCATCATTCAAAAAAGTTAAATTCGACATATCTTCCTGTTTAATTTATTTAAAAATTATTTTTAAAATAAAAACTCTTAACAGTTTTCTCAAATTTTGGTGGATTCATTTCTTGAATTAATTCTTTTTTGACCGTTTTCTAAATGAAAATATGTATAAAATATATGAAATATTTTCATACTTCACCAGATGCTATTTTTACAGTAACTTGATCTCCTTTTGTGGAGGTGATCTCAGCTGCAACATAGCCTTCCTCTTGATCTAAAAAATAATTTTAGATTTTAAAATGGAGTAGATTATTTTAGAATTAAATTAAGGGTGCAATCCAACAAAATTAGCCTACGAGAAATTAATAATTTAATGGAAGGAAAATTTTTGAAAGGGTGGAAATTTATTTTTAAAAAATTACCAGGAACCCAACAATTCTTTTTTGTATCATAAGGACGGCTTTGCTCCTAAAAATTAAAATAATTATTTATAAGATAATGGATTTTATTGCCTTTAAAAGTATATCAGGGGCAAGGCGAAGATATTGCCAACCTGGGTCTTTATCCATTTTTAGATTATTTAATTATTCTCTTAATAATTACTGTTAAGAACTTTAAAAAAATATTTATATTTTACAAATTTATTATAATAAAAACAAAAATATTTTTAGAATCTTATCGTAATTTAAAGAAATTTTTGTATAGAAAATTGGAAAAGAAGAAAAAATATCTTCTTTTGTTTAAACATTCATTCAACGGTTTAGAGTTACATATATCTCAAAAAATATTCCATTCACTCTTTACAATCAGTTTTTTTGCTTTTTGTTTGTCAACTCTTTTTAAAAAATTCTTTTTGTATGTTCACATAAAAACAAGAACAAATTTACTTAAAACTTTAACTATAAGTTGTTAAGTAGTATATAATATAGTACGAACTTAAAAGCATTAATTACTATTAGAGGGTTTTACATTATAAAAAATATGTAAAAGTTATTCCAAAAAGTCAAGTGGAAATGTCAATAAAAAGAAATGTTCAGAATTAACTCGCAAAAGCAAAAATTAAATATTTAAATTGCAAGATGTTCGAAGAAAAATGTACTTGAATAAAAATATTTTGTTAAGTATTAAGATGTATTACAAAATATTAAAGTTAACCTATATTAATAATGGACAAAATTGTTTAAATTAACGATCAAATTGAAGCTTTACTTAATAGAAAAATCTTTATAATTAGCAAGTAACAAAAAAATTAAGAATAATTATTACACAATTTTTATTTATTATAAATAAATTTTAACAAAAAAAAAAGAATAATTTAAAAAATTAAAAACAAAATGTGTCAAAATTTTAAAGAAAATGATCATTTCTCAAAATCCATCCAGAATTTCCTTGGCAATTATCTTGGGTAACTAAAGCTGGACATTTATAAAAGAATTGATAACACTTTCCCCTAAGTGCATATAATAATTGATCCATTCCATCGGTTGAAGAAGACCAACTAAAAAATAAATTAAATATTTTAAATTTACATTAAAATAACCGTAAAGTTTCTTGTAAAATACTTCCAAGAAATGCATTAACAATTAAAATATTATCGGGCATTGGAATGATTGACAGGGAACGTTTTGAATCACGAATGTTTTGAGGTAAAACAATAAGGTTGTTGCTATTACTTTAAAAAGGAAATTAAAAATATTTTATTAAGGAGAAATTTTGAAAAATATTTAAAAAAATTGTTTTATAAGTTTATGATCAGTATCTTCTCCTTATTCCAAAAAATAGAATGGGTATAGAATTTTAAAGAGTTTGTTGTTAATTCAGAAAAAATAATTAAAATAAAAAATGGATGGAATATATTTAATTAGAAATCGGCCGGGACCTGTCAAAATACCGAACAGGATTTTGCGGGACCATATCCCAAAATCCTGTATTTTAAGCAACGAACGGGATTATCGGGATTTACTGGATTAATCCCGCGGAATCCTGTCCCGTAAAAATTTTGAAAAAAATTCCGTTACGGGAGCAATATTTTAATTCTTGTCTCCTGAGAAAAAATTAAACTAATATGTACATTAGGTATGTAAATGTATTTTATAAAAATGTTTTTTACCGCTGTTGAATAAGAGAAAGAGATAATTCTTTAGCAATTTCAGACAATCCAATAATTAATTTAGACAAATTTTCATTATTATTTGTTTTATTTATTTCATTTATATTTTTATTAGATGTTGTTGTTGCTGTAGTTATTGTTGAATTATTTGTAATTTGTTCATCATCATCAATTAAAATAACTTCTTTGTTTGTTGATGTTTGTTTCGATTTTTCTAAAAATTGTTGGAGAACAGATGAAGCTAAATAATTGGGATTTTCAGAAATTATTGGTTGTTGTTGTTGAGAGGAAGATGATTGATTTGAAAGAAAATATGGTTGTTGTGGGAATATATCTGAAGGAGTTTTTGATGATGTAGATGATGATTGTTGTTGTTGTGTTGGAGATGGTTGTTGTTGTTGTAACTGTTGTTCTTGTGCAGAAGTAACCATTCTAACACTTTCTTGTAACATTTCAAGAGGTGTTGCAGTTTCCAAAAAATTCTAAATATTTATATACTTCAGAAAGTTTTTAGAATAGAAAAGAGGAGGGGTTAAGGTTTTGCTGAAAGTACAACATTAATACTATTTATAAAAAAATTTGCCCCAACATTAGGAATGCTACATACTTCTCTTATTAGATTTTTAAAAATCATTTTAAAGGTCATTCTCACGGCTATTAGGAATATCACTTTAAATAACTTCAAAACTTACCGAAACTCTGTCTTGAATATCAACTTCCAATTGAGGAGAAACAATTTCTGGGGCACTGTTTGGTGAATAATGAAGTTTATGTAAATATTCTAAAGAATCTCCTTTGCAATTCTGATGATGTAAAATTGGAACATTATCGTCTAATTCTACAAAACGCAAAACTGCCTTTCCAAGTTGACCCCTTATTTTAATATTAAAAATATTTTTTGACGAGAGATTAGTTAAATCTTCTGACGAGTCAGATTTAGAATAACGAAAGAAATTTTACTTAAAAATGCGTTTTAAAAGGGAAAAGAATGAGAGAGAAAAATATTTTTAATTCCTTTTTAAAACCTACCAAGCATTTGAGCGTTCTTTCCTTCGCAATTTTAAACATTTGAGACAATCCAGTTCGTGAATAGAATGTTTGGTTAAATAATTTGTTGCTTTAAATTTGCGCCATTCTTGGTCTGATCCTATTAGGAAAAATTGGCCTTCGTTTGGACTTGAATAAAGAGGAACTAAATATTGCTTCTTTGCTAACTAAAAGAGAAATTTTAATTAAAGAGGAAAAAATAATTTTAAAAACAACTTGCCTTCATTCTAATTAAATAAATATTTAAATTCCAAATGTCAATAAATATTCCAGCATTTGTTAATTCATTATGTAATTGTTCTGCCGTTGTTAATTTTCCATCTCTATACGAAGACAACAACATTTGAGCAACAAAACAATTTAAATTTTTAACTTCATTTTTGTAACTAATATCGTCAAATGCCGAATTATTTTGATTATTATTGGAAGAATTATCTTGAATCTGAAGAAGAAAACTTTAAAGGATTCTGTTCATTAAAAAAATTATTTGTACTTTCCTGTTATCGGCCCTCAATTTTATTTTCCTTTTTTCTCATTATACTTACTGCTCTTCCTTTCCTTTTGAAGGGAAAGGAAACTTGGCTTCCGTCCCCAGGTTTTCGGTTCTGGTTCGGATAAACCGTTTGTTTCCTCCCTAATATATTCTTTCTTAATATGAACATAATGGTCAAGCTTGCCTCCTCAATTTCACTCTCCCTGTGGCAACATTGATAAAGAAAAACCAATAATAAAGGAAAATGATCAGTATTTCCATTTCTATCGGAATAGAGCCCTCAACTCATTGACCATTCTGCTCACATATTAAGAATTGAATGAAAAAATAGAAATGAGGGCCGATAACAGGAAAGTCCCAAATTATTTTACATGATTATCTGGAGCTTCCAAAACATTATTATTAACGATGTGTATTTGTTCATTTCCTTCATTTATTATTTGTTGACTCGATGATTCTTGAAGATTATTCTCATAAATTAAAGTATTTATAGGTAGAGAAGTACTTCTTTCGGGAATAACATTTTGAATTATTTTGTTTCTCTAAAAAATATTTTTATCAATTAAAGATTTAAATGGGTATATTTTGCCTTTATTTTTTTCTTTTTAGGACGTAATATTGGAATTCTGTGAATAGCCGATTTAGCTGCACGAATTCGATCCGCCTTCTCATTCCAAATCCTTTTTTCTTCATCTGGTAAAGTATGCCACTTTGCTCCCACCTTTAAAAATAAAGAAATAATTTTTTTATTAATTTAAAAACTATTTTCTGCAATTCAGAATGTTCTGCAAAACCCAAGTGTCTGGAAAACCCAAGTTGATTATTTCGTTTATAATCTATTGACCACAATAAAAAGCCTAAAAAGAAAGTTATTTTGATTTTAAAAATCTATTTAAATACTTGTTATATTTGAGAATATAGCTTAACTCGGGTTCTACTATTCTGGGGGCTCATATTAGACTGAATTAAATTATTCTATTAATTTATTCAATTTCTCCATATAAATATGGATAAAATAAGAAGGGAAAGAAGTGGCTAGGCCAAATCTGATAAAAAAAGGCGGGGATATTTATAGGGCCAATCTAAGGGTGAATAGAAAGAGAATAACAAAAATAAGATAAGAGTCAGGAATTGGATAAGGTCGGGAGACCTTTATATTTAGAAAGGGGTAAACTTTTATTTGCATGTGAAAATTATTTGATTAAGTGAATATAGCAATACCATTAGGCGTTGAGGGTTTTATTTTATTCAAAATTTGGACAGAAGAATTGGTTGGTTCTGTTGAAATTAGAGCCCGGAATTTCGTACCGTACCGTATTCCGTACCGTACTACCGTATAATACCGATACCGATAAATACCGATAAAATTCAAAATTCTTCCGTACCGTATTACCGATACGGAATACCGAAAAATACCGATACCGATAAATACCGATAAAAATTTATCGGTATTCCGTACCGTATTTTTAAAAAATTAATTTATTAAAAATAATTATTTTTAAATATAAATTTGATAAAGTCGTATATTTAGGATTTGCCTGATATCTCTTAATCCCTAGACTTGAACGTAAGCTCCATTAAATCCACTTAATCCACACGAATCCACTTAATCATCACAGACCCTCTCGATATATCTCTTACTCTCCTAAATCCATTCTCAATTATTCCTAATCTCTCTATATCAGTCCATCGGATCTCAACACTTTCAGCACGGAAATCATGTGAAATTTTCAAAAACCAAGAAGACATATTTCTTACTTTTTCTGATTTTGAAATTTTGACTTCCAAATCATGAGAATTTGGAAGTCCAAGAAGTTGAATTTAATCCTATTATAGCGCCGCAGGCAAAAATTGTGTGAAATTTTCAATGGCCAAGAAGCATTTTTCACTTAAAATATAATAAAATTTTGAAAATTTTCATCGGTCGGTATCATCGGTATTTTAGTTTTTCCGTACCGTATTACCGATACGGAATACCGAAAAATACCGATACCGATAAATACCGATAAACTTCAAAATTTTACCGTTCCGTATTCCGTGCCGTACTACCGATACGGAATACCGATAAATACCGAAAAATACGGCCGTAGTACGGTACGGTCCGGGCTCTAGTTGAAATATTATTAAAGGCAACTTGAGCATTTGTATCAGAAACTGACACAGAAATATTATCAATTTCAGGTTGTAAAATAGGTGGAGGTTCTTCGGTTGTAAGTGAAGGAGGTATATCAAGTTGTTGTGAATTATTTGTTTGTTGAATACTAGTGTTTATTGTATGATCAGGTGTTGGGCCGATCGTTATATTTTCCTAAAAAAATAAATTTAAAAAGGTTTAAAAAATAAAAAATTTTTTTATCAAAATCACTTTAAAAATTGGAAAAAGAATCTGAAATATCATAAAAGCTTTTGCGCCAGAAAAATGCAAAAAGTGTGGGGTGCTACACTCATTGCTGACTCGGGGACTAGGTTAAAATTTATGAGTGGATCGAAAAGATTCAATGTCTGTGAATGAAAATTATTATTTTTGGAATTAATCAAGTCTTTTCTGAAAGATGAGATAAAGCGGAGGAGAAAATTAATCCTTTTTTGATTGACATTACTTATCAAAAACAAAAATTAAAGAGGAAAAAATAAATAATAAAAAGGGGAACCCAAAACTCGGTATACCCAACAATCGTAAGTACTTACCGCCTTAATTTCGTCAATAATAATTGTTTGATCTGTCTCATCATTTAGTTTTTCTATAATTTCATTAATCACTTGATCGCTTTGTTGTTCTTTATTTTCAGACATTTCATCAGCAAAAGCAGAAGTGTCTGGGACATTTCCAGGCTCAGTTCTGTCACTTTTGATACTTTCAGTGCTTGGTGAACGTTGGCGTACCTTTTAAAAGAAATACATGTTTAATTTCTTTCAATCGCCCTTATATGAGCGAGTGGTAAGGGTGTTAGGCTTCAACCAAGACGTTATTAGAGGTGGGTTCGCTTCATGGTCAGAGAACAAGGAATTTTCGTATTTTTCTTTCCATAAATAACTTATTTTATAAGTTTAATTTTGTTTTAAAAATTATTCTACTTCTACATTGAGGAATTATGGCCCTAAAAATGACTCGAAAAAATCATAAAAATTTTAGATTATTTGTTTTTTCTCAAGTACGAGTAAGTACGTTGTACGAAGCCAAAAATAGGGGTGGTACGAAGTACGAGCAAAATTTAAATTTATGAACACTGGTAAAGAAATAGAAAATAAATTACTAACAATTCCAGGAGCATGGCTATGATTTTGAGTGACAGTTACTTCAAAATCTTCAGACCCAGGTCTCATACTAGTTACAGCTCTGCCCATACATGAATGTTCTCCCCTTCGTTCATTTAATTCACATATCCAATATTTGGTTTGTTTATCTTGACTAAAAGCATTACGGACATAAACATAACCCTAAATATTATTTTGGAAAATAAAAAAAAAATAAAATTTAAACCTCAAAAATCATTTTCTTTCTACTGTATTCAGTCTTTAAAAATGTAGCCATTTATGTATTGATACATTTAAATACTAAAAATTCTTTAAAATAATTTAATTGTAAGCTTAATTTTTATGTCTACATATGAAGAAAAATTTTAGTTTATGCGTCATTTTATTAGTTCAATCAAAGCTTATCCGATCAATAAAAATGTTATAAATACAATTTCGGTACTTTGTTTATTTATACCACCACCCCTATTTGAGTCTTAGATGAATTGCCCTTTCATTCTTTTCTGCCTCGGAGCACAACACAAGAGGGGGAAATCAATATTAATGCAGAGTAAAACTACCTTTAGAATAAAAGCCTTTTTTTTAAATAAAGAAGGCGTCGCTCACAAAATAGAGAAGGCGTCGCTTCGTTGCTAGCAAAATTACTACTACAACCCGCCATCCTTGCTTACCATCCAACGCCTAACCAACTATGGTAAGCCTCGCCTCTTCTATCTTCTTTTAACTCTAACCAAAACAACTTCGTTTACATTTCTCTCACGCCCAGAATTGCAAATTTCTACTATTTCTCTAATTCTTTAGCGTTTTAAATGAAATGATCGATATTCTGACTTGTGTTTTATTTATGTGCAAACGCAGCTCTATAATGTGTGGCTGTATGTACTATAGACTTGTTTATTTTTGGATTTTATCGAATGGTGTGCAGTGAAAAAATTGTAATAGAAATTTATGTAATAGCAATTTATGTAATGAATTAGATGAAATTGAAGAAAATAGTGAAGTAGAATAACAGAAGTGTGAAGTAGAAGAATTTTGGAAAATAAAATAAATTTTTAAGTAAATTTGTGTAAAATAATACATATTTTTATCGTTTGATAGATTATAAAGGTGAAAATAATTTACAACAAATAAAATGTCATTTAAATTATGGTTCACTTTTATTTTTAAGGCCAAAAATATAATTGAACAGGCTTTTTTTCCAATTGAGTATGAGGATGAAAATGATGAAACTGAAGCAGAAGACTTTGAAATGCCTGAAAAAAACTATAGTAATGAATATAATGAAGAACAGGAGAAACATCAATATTTTGAGGAGGAAGAGGAAATATTTTTTGAAGAAAATGGAGAATGGTATAAATGGAGAGAAGTGAGTGAATAAATATATTTTTGCAATTAAAATTTTTTTTAATTTCTTAATTTATTTTGTAAATTTGATAAAGTGTAAGTATAATGAAAATAATATTTAAGGCTACAGATTGTGCAACCACGGTATCGTTCCTAAATCGATGCAAAATATTTCAAATGTCAGAACATAACTATGAAAAATTGTGGACATGTTATGCCAGAAATTTGGTTCTTCTCCACTAGTTCTTCACTAGGCAAAGTGGATCTCATTATAGACCCATCTACGTGTTATTTTGATTTTTATTTAATCGTTAATATTATATTCAGCACAAAGACGAACAAGAATTTGTTAGTAAACATTTTTTTTTAAAACATCACTTTTATTTTTAAGGCCAAAAATATAATTGAACAGGCTTTTTTTCCAATTGAGTATGAGGATGAAAATGATGAAACTGAAGCAGAAGACTTTGAAATGCCTGAAAAAAACTATAGTAATGAATATAATGAAGAACAGGAGAAACATCAATATTTTGAGGAGGAAGAGGAAATATTTTTTGAAGAAAATGGAGAATGGTATAAATGGAGAGAAGTGAGTGAATAAATATATTTTTGCAATTAAAATTTTTTTTAATTTCTTAATTTATTTTGTAAATTTGATAAAGTGTAAGTATAATGAAAATAATATTTAAGGCTACAGATTGTGCAACCACGGTATCGTTCCTAAATCGATGCAAAATATTTCAAATGTCAGAACATAACTATGAAAAATTGTGGACATGTTATGCCAGAAATTTGGTTCTTCTCCACTAGTTCTTCACTAGGCAAAGTGGATCTCATTATAGACCCATCTACGTGTTATTATGATTTTTATTTAATCGTTAATATTATATTCAGCACAAAGACGAACAAGAATTTGTTAGTAAACATTTTACATGATGTCTCTGATGAACCATGGAATGAATGATATTTAGAAATATTTTAGTTAAAATATTGTTTTCGTTTTTAATAAATTTATATTCAAGATTTTTCATGTTTTAATAGATCCATTTGAAACATAAGATTAAATATTTAATAATTGATTTTAATGTAAGATTTCACTTTATAGAGTAAGTATTTCAATGGATCCAGTGTAATTCATTTAAGTATATGAAGAGCCCTAATTAGAAAATGAAAGATGGTTATACTTCTGCCTAGTACGGAAGAAACGGCAGATTAAAAAATTTTCTCGAGAGTTGGAGATTTTATTTATATTTGGGTAATACAATGTTTCTTAAAATTATAAATTTTTTATTTTTTTATTTATTCAAGAATAAAAATGACAATGAAAGGGATGGACACTTACATCATTGTCTTAATAAAATATATGATATCTGGTCAATAATAATAAATTAACTGGATAGTCAACAAAAAATAATCATAAGGAAACGGATATTGATATACACAGATACATAACTAAGTTAATTATAAAATTGCACTGGTGAGAAGTGAACTGCGTTACGTTTAACACCAGGCATGCAAGTCTCAAATATCAGCAAGAATAAATTATTGTAAATTTAATTTTAAAATTTTTAGCATAATGTGTATCTGTGTATTAATTTAAATAAAGGGACATAAAAAACCTGAAATATCAGCAAGAATAAATTATTGTAAATTTAATTTTAAGATTATCGTTAACTCCCGTGCTTACTCCCTCGACATTTGACTCCAGCGCTTGGTTTTCACCCTCATTCGGCTCAGACATTGAGCTTAGTCAATGACCATGTTTTGTCACTATCAGGCCATGCATTAAAGACCCGCTTTAGGTAGATTTTCAAATTTTTTTAAAATTTTATTTCGTCCCCAAATGTCGGGTCCCCAATTGTCGGGTCCCTAAGTGTCGGGTTCCCAATAGTCGGGTCCCTAAGTGTCGGCCCTAAATTCGGGTCCCTAAGTGTCGGGTCTCCAAAAGTCTGATCCCCAAATGTCGCGCCACGGGAGTCAACTGATGATATTTTTAAAGGTGTCACTTGAGTCTGTGAACGGACATTCGAGTTTGAATATTACAAATACTGGAAAATTGATCCAAATTAATTTAGAAAAGATGTAATAACGCTGGAGGCAGCCTTTATACCCTAAAGCAACCAAATCGGCTGACGTTTCGCGCCGAACGCTGGTTTTAATAATAATATTTTAAATGGGATTTAATAATGGATACTACAATACAAGTACAGCAAATAATACCATACAGATTATTGAATGTCAAGTATAAGCTTAATGAAATTATAAATGATGTTAAACCCTACGGATTATCCACCATACATACGTTCTGTTATGTAGTCATTTCTTTCCTCCCGTTACCCTTCTAGCTTTAATTTTCCGACATCACCCATTCCAATTGTCCCAGATCACCTTGAGGGACGATTAAAACAAATTGGGTGGTTAACTTCTAATGCTTCAATCAATTGCAAAATTTCTATTTTAAGTGAACAGATGGTGAAATTGACAGAAATGTTATACATAGGTGATTTTTCAACAAAACTTCTAAAAATACTTTTACATATTATGTAAATATTTTTGACTATTTTAGTCCCCATATCTTATCTTGCCGAGTTAGCCCATATTCGAAAGAACGTTTTGAATACAGATTTTATAATAATATTATAAACAAAGAATATCCAAATCATTATTAAGTAATTGTTGACTAGCTTCAGCCATAATTGAAGGACTATTTTGCACCATTTTTCTGATTTCCATCATTGCATCTCTGTCATATACATATTTGCTTTTCTTATTGCTAGAATAATATTATATTTCGACCTACAATATTAGTTTATCTCTTGATTATTGTGAAAATCATTTGATAGTTAAAATTCAAGAACCCTATTTATAAGTATAAATAAAATAACTTTCACACCTCGGTGTTGTCTCTGAATTTGATTTTATTTCTTTGTCTTCCATTTGGTTTTGAGAACTTTTATTTGTTGTTATTGCTTTAACAGAGATTTGTTTAAAACATTCATTAACTGCTTCTTGAGCTAACTAAAATATATTTTACTATTTCCATATCAGCTTCAATCAATTTTCGCAGAAGGGTAATTAGAATATTTAATTGAGAAAATAAGTTACGTAAATTATTAAACATACATTTAAAAGAGCAGCATCATTAGAGGCAATTTTTAAAGAACCCTCATTCTCTCTTATAATTTTAAATTGTTCTTTATTAATCATCTTATTTTTCTTATCTTCCGCTGGAATTGAAATTGTTTTGTCTTCTTCATGTTTGAATGCCTAAAAAATTCAAGGAAATAAACGAAACTATCTATTTTATTTGTTAAGAATAGATGAATCAAAATAAGAGTTTCTCTTATACGCTACAAATTAGCCATTTATTTTTCCGGTTCCTAAAACTATTTTATATTCAAAAAATTACTTTTCTATTTGGTGAAATATTTCGTTCAATAGTTTTGGCTATTAAAGATTTTGCATTTTCTATTGCATTTTGTGCCTCGGCAATTATTGTTAATTGACGACTTTGACATTTTGGATCAACTTTTTGGAAACTTATAACTGTATTACTAAGTTCTTCTATTAATGCCACACGACGACCCTTTACTCCCATTACTTAAAGTATAAATTAATTTCTATTATCAAGATACCGTATATGCGCAAATAATTACTTTCTCTCAAATAATTACCCTCTAATAATTCCCTATTTTCCAACAATAGTTTTGAAACATAAAAAACATTATCAATTTTAATTATTGGTACAGTTTAAGAATCAATATTAAAAAATAAGTCAACTTAATCGGCTTAAATTACTTTTCCTAAATTATATGTACACCTCAAATTCATCGCCCCTCTTGATTAATTAGCCTCTCCAGCGTGAGATTGAAATAATAATTACCTAGCGTAATTATTTGATCATATACGGTATATTTTTGTTGCTTTACAATCAGCATTAGATATACACATGTCTATTTTGTGCTGGCTATTCATTCAGTCTACTCTTTTTAAGTGAATGTCTAGACAGAAAGGTGGCATAAATTCAGGATAAAACTTTAATTCCGGAACACAAATTTGTGGATTGTGTCCCGCATAAACTAAAAGTACCCTTTAACCTTTTCCAGAATCAGAATTCCGAATTTGAATCTCTTCTCGGAAAAGATTTGGAGTTGTTTTAGTTTTTGGTTGTAATAATTCAAATTCAGACACTCCATATTCTGCTACATTGATATTCCTATTTGTATTGTTTAATGAATTATTTTCTTCTAATTAATTTAAAAAAATTGTTTTTGATTAATTAAAAAAATATTTACTATAAAAGTTTGGAGGAATAAATTTAAATGGTGGTGGAGGCGAAGAAAACATTCCTAAATTCTTCGTTAAATTAAAGCCAGTAATAGCTGGAGGGACAGGAACGAATGTGCCGGTTTGAGATGGAATGAAGTAAAAGCTTGCTGGTCTAGCCATTCCTGTCTAAAATATTAAAATTAATTCTCTAAAGCCCCGGACTTTTTCTAAACCCATCCTATCCATGCTAAGAGGGTCTTATTGTAACTAAAAATGAGTCAATTGTTTTGAATAAATTTAAAATTTTAAAACAATTTTAACGCAAATAAAGTGTTAAAATTGTTTTGTCTCTACAACATTAAAAAGAAGTCAGTCCAAAAAATTAAATTGGAAATTAATTTTTATAATAAAAATTAGAACATTATTGTCGACTGTTGGATCAATCAAACAATTTGGTGGCGGAAGTGAGGGAGGTGGAATATTGAATTGAGTTGGAAATAATGGAATTGTTGATTGAAAATCAGAAGCAGAATTATCTATTGAAAGTGGCCTTTGTTGTTGTGATGGTGGTGATTGGGGGGAATTTTTATTTGACTAAAAATTATAATTAGTAATTGATTTAAATATTCTCAAGCGGGATGAAAAATATATTGAATTTCTTATTCAATATATTTAAATGAAAGAGATTAGTATGAGCCAAAAATTTTAGAACAATGAAAAACTTTTATAAAATCGGAATACTTCTAATTTTTCAAATTTGGGCTTTGAATTAATCAGACAAAATAGGGGTGGAGGAAATTTTAAAAGAACTTTACCACAAAATTTTGTTTTGAATATAAATTATTAATCTCATTATTATTATTTATGAAGGGTGATATTGAATTAGTTGATGATGTACAGGAATTAGTTTTTGATTGAAATGTACTAAATAAATCTTCATTTTTTAATTCTTCCAATTCTCGTTCTTTTCTTGCATAATAACGGGCATGCTTTAAAAAATTGTTTTTTGATAATTTTAGAAAATTATTAACTGATAAATTATTTCTCCAACCCATTAAACGAATTTCTAATAATTCAAGAATTTTAATTCTACAAGGTAATCCAAGTTCTCCATCTTCACGACAAGAAGCTAGACGAATTGAAGAAAAAAATTTATCTAAATCATCTAAAAATTAATTTTTATTTTATTTTTATCAATTTCTAAACCTTTATTTGTTTTTTCTAATTCTTTCCCTTTAATTCTTAATTCTGTACATATTTCATATATTTGATCACCAAGTATTATAGAAAATTTATTTTTCTTTATATTTTCATTTATTTGATTCATTTGTTCCAAAATCAATTTATCAAAAAAAATTTTTTGTTAAAAAATATTTAAAAAATTTACTTGATATATTCTCTTTTCTGGGTTCCATATTAATTAACAGGTATATATTTTAAATTTTTTTTAAATTAATCAAATTACAAATTTAAATAAAATATAAATTAATATTTTAATCGTTCGCCATAAAATATTTAATTTCGAATAAAAATATTTTCGATCGCTATAAAATATTTTAAACTTTTATTTTGTTAAATTAAAAAGGGATATAATTTTAAAAAATGCTTGATAATTTTGTAAGGCTTAATTATTTTAAATATTTAAGTATTGTTGTTGTTAATCAATTCCACGTCTATTTGTTTTTTGTAAAATTCTTTTATGTAAATAAAAGAATTTATTTACATATATTTACAGTTATTTTTTCACGATTATTACTAATAATTTTGTAAAAAATATTTAAAACAAATATTGAATCGATATACTAAAAATATATGTTTTTGTTTCTCTGGATGGGACATAAAATAATTAAATAAAATAATAATTAATATTTTAATATTAAAATTTTTTTATTATTTTTAGAAAAATTTTCAGGATTATAAAATAATTCTGGTACTATTTAAAAATATTTACAATAAAAGAATTGGAAAAATTGATTTATTAATAATATTAAATAATATAAAATAGTTTTATGTATATATTTTTTAAACTAATTTATAATCCTCTTTTTTTGTAGAAATTGGAAAAATATCAGAAAACAATTTTTGCTTAAATACAAATACTTCTTTGAAAATAAATTTAAAATTCTGGTTAATTTATCAAATACTGATCTTGTAACGAAGTAGCCATCCTGGAAGTTATCGAATAAATTTAAAGCGCCGATTTGAATGATATAAACTTTGGGTATTTCGACACCATAAACTTGAAATCAAGTCAATCTTTAACATTTCGGACCAAATAATAGACAGTTGAGCATAAATTTAAAAAATTATATGCATGTGCCATATTGATGCTTCGCCAGTGATTCTTCTATTAATCCTCACATGTTAAAATTTACACAAACTTTTTGTACCATTCGACTCAGCATGAATGCCTTCTAGAATTAGTTATCATTTGTCTGAACACTCAGGATAAATGATTTTGTCTGAGCTGAGGGGGTTTGAGGAAAAATACCATCTAAACTTCACACATGTAAATTACAATTGTGATTTAAAAGTCTCAACAAGTTAAAAGCCTTTATATTTCCGTGACAAAATATTTTTTATTTTTAAAAATTATTTTGTTCTTTTAGTTAAAAATATAAATTTTGTTCTTTTAGTTAAAAATATATAAAAACACTGTTTTTAAATTCTTCATTAGCCGGGCCCCATTAATAATGAATGATGAATTATATAGAATTTTATTTAAAAAAAGAGTAAGAGCAGCCGCCTAAAAATCTTTTGTTTGTTGCCATTATAATATTTATAGTCCCCAAATAATAAATAAAAAGGTGTTTAGTTGTAAAAATTCCTTTTTAATTTTTTTCAAATAACTTTTTATATATTAATCTTCGTTGTTTTGCCATCTGTGGAGTATGGTTGATTGACTAAATGAATGCTTAAACACAAGGTTAAAGAACTAATAATTTTGTCGATGTTTTTAGGGGTTTAATAAACTTTTTTTGTCAAGGCTCTGAATTTTTTAATTTTTGATTTCCATCTTTATTTAAAAATATTTTACTATAATTTTTGTTTAAACCACATAGGTATAATATTCTCCACAATAAAAATTAATTCAATTTTATTTTTCATTTGTCTTTTTACCGATATTTAAGAATAAATAGAAGTAAAAAATTTCTTCAATAAAAATTTTATCAATTTAGCAGATCAACGCAAGTAATATTAATGAGGGAAAAAGAGAGAGGATATTATTTTTTGATATAGAACTGGGCATGACAGTTCATTTTAGATATATTATTAGAGGAATTTGTTTTGAGGTTGTTTGAGGAAAGAGATTCCTTTTTGAGATAAGTATCTATTTCTATTATTTTTTTCTTATTTTTAACCAAACCTCATTAGTTTTAGAAAAAAATATTTCCTACATAAGAACAAAAAATTTTTTAATTAAATTATTTCAATTTTCTCTTAGCCTTTCAGCCAAAATATTTTTTACTTAAAATTCTGTGAGAATTTATTTTAGTTTTAATTATAATTAATTAAAATGTCTAATATTAAACAACAAATATCAGATAATAATGATGATGAAAATAATTCATTAACAAATACATTTTTAATTGAATTAACGAGAGGAATATGTTTTGCGGGAATTCCTCATGCAAAGGAACGTGAAAGACAACAAAATTTACTTCAATCTGTTCAAATTTCTAAAAGGCTACATATTGTAAGATAAATTAATTTTATCCCGCAGCATACCACTCCTTAAATTAAACCTGTAAAATCCCTCAAAACCCAAATACAAACTAATTTTTGAGATCTAGATTGTATTTTATCTCTATTATTAGTAATTTAATTCCTGAGAACCATTTGTTTTATTTTCAAAAATATTTTCCAGCTCGACCAGAAATTTTAATTAAAAATACATACCACCGTTTTCTCAAAATATTTATAAGATAAGCATAAAACAACTTTAACTAATTAAAAATTTCCCCACAGGCAGTCCCCAGCAACGGGTTAAATTTGCATTTAAATTTAAACAGCTCAAATATAGTACCAGAACAAAATGAGGTTTTTAAATTATTTTAAATTCTATTAATTTAATTAATTAGGTACATTTTCAAAGTGATATTTTATTCAACGGAATTCCAATTCGAATAAAAGGACAAATAAATATATTAACTTTATTTGGTGTTGCACAATTCGAAAAATTAGTGGCAATTCAAAGGGGATATACTACAGATATTTTATTAAATGATTGTAAAATACCCATGAATAGTATTGAAGCCGAAAGGAGGGAAAGGTTACACAAAAGATTATGCAGAATACGTGAAACATTACTTAAACTTTAGCATTATTAATATTTAAATTGATAAAATGAGAAATTTAAATATATACAAAATTGAGTTGGTACTAATATTATATACATAGATGCTATAACATGACTAATTCATTGACATTAAATTTATTCGTGTTTATTCCCAAAAATAGTTAATTATTGGTATATTTATTTAATAATTTCAAAAATACCATCCATTAAATATGTGTGGTTATTTTTAGGTATACAGAACGGAAATATGTGCATGTCCGGAGAGCTAATGTAGTTTCTGTTGGAATACCTCAAAAATAGGAGTGTCTTATATTAAATATTTAACAGTGGTATCATAATATTAAGGGGGAGAGTAATATCCTCCTTAAAGCTGTATATAGATTTAACAAGTTCAGAAAAAATATTTGAAATCTCTTAATTTAAATTGACAAAAATAATTTTAAAAAATCTTCAATAAAATTTTTTTCATAATTAAATGTTTTGAATTATTTAAATGGTTTAGTCTACAAATTATTTCCTAAGTTTGTTTCAACAGAATGTATCAGATAAATAGTTTGTGTTAAAATTGCCCAAATTTTAAATGAGCTAATTTTTAATATTTTTTAATTTAAATTAAAAAAAACAGGAATTGAAAAACAAAAGAAGGTGTTTTTACAAAATTAAATAAAAATTCATTGACACTCCCCTCACTCATTGACAGTCAAAATTGACAGTTCATCACAAGGCGGTTGGCACCAAAAGCGAATAAAAAAAAGAAAAAGTGATTGTATGACACGGCTCCGGTACAAAATATGGAATCGTTAAAATATGGAATGGTTAAAATCGCGAATAGGCTAAAAAGGGGTTAAAATACCGAATCGTTAAAATATGGAAACGTTAAAATATCGAATCGGGTAAAAAAGGGTTAAAATATGGAATCGTTAAAATATGGAATGGTAAAAATGTCGACACGGCCAAAATCTGTCAAAATGTCGAATTCTTTTAAAAAAGGGTCAGATGAGTGCCATACGTTGATTGTAGATGATTTTATCAACTTATCAACTTATTAATGATAAGTTGATTGATAAGTCTCTTATGTCGTAGTCCGGCGCAATCTTTTCTGCCAGAGTTCATTGTATTTTACCGAGTAAAACCGGACCGGATAAATCAAGCATAATCGACCGGATCCGATCCGGCATGATCGTACGGATCCGGAAAACATAACGCGATCCTGATATGGAAAAATTAGAGTGGTGTGCATTAGTTTTTAGTTAAGACCTAAAGTTTGACCTTACCGTATACGGTACGAAATACCGAAAAATACCGATCAGCTTTTAAATTTTATCGGTCGGATTCCGTACCGTACTACCGACACGGAATATCGAAAAATACCATCGGTAACACCCGGTAACGCCCGGATTCTAGTTTTGGCGCCATTTTTAAAAAATTCGACATTTTGATCGATTTTGGCCGTGTCGACATTTTTACCATTCCATATTTTAACGATTCCATATTTTAACCCTTTTTTAGCCTATTCGATATTTTAACCATTCCATATTTTAACGATTCGGTATTTTAACCCCTTTTTCGCCTATTCGCGATTTTAACCCATTTTTACCCGATTCGAGATTTTAACCCTTTTTTAGCCTATTCCATATTTTAACGATTCGATATTTTGTCCGGACACGTATGACACTCTCTGTTTATTATATGATATTTCTCCTTAGTTTAATGTCTGCCCATGCTTTATTTAAGGGCTACCCTACAACTCATCGAATCCTTAACTCATCGAATCCTCAACTCATCGAATCGGCCAAAAACACTCAACTCATCGAATCCTTAACTCATCGAATCCTCAACTCATCGAATCGGCCAAAAACGATCAACTCATCGAATTTTTCCAAAAGGGGACGTTTGAGTCCCCGTGTTTATTTTTTAGATTTTTTATTGTTTTGTTTATTTTTTTTTGTTTTCTTCTGGGGTTTCAACTAATTTTGTTAATTAGTTGATCGGGCACTCATCCAAGTTTATCCGGCCAGTGAAAACATTATCAGAACATTATCTCATTCCTGAAAACATTATCTCATTCCTAATAAATTATGCTGGAGATTTTACCGGGTAAAACCGGACCAAATTAGTCCAGTAGACCCCGATTATGCCCAAAAGCCCTTTTTCCTAGCCTCCATAGCAGCAAAAAATTTTTTCAACGAAGATTCAGTTAGCCCTTTCGGGAGAAAAATAAAAACAGGGGACTCAAACGTCCCCTTTTGGAAAAATTCGATGAGTTGAGCGTTTTTGGCCGATTCGATGAGTTGAGGATTCGATGAGTTAAGGATTCGATGAGTTGAGTGTTTTTGGCCGATTCGATGAGTTAAGGAATTTTAGCCGATTCGATGAGTTGAGCGTTTTTGGTCGATTCGATGAGTTAAGGATTCGATGAGTTGAGCGGGCACGTATTTAAGGGACACGCCCGAATAGTCGCGGGCCGAATAGTCGCGGCCGAAAAGTCGCGACCGAATAGTCGCCGGCCGAATAGTCGCGGGGCCATATAGTCGCCGGCCGAATAGTCGCCAATCTTTTAAATATTCTGATTGTAATTAGACCTGCGCGGGACAAGATCCCCACGGGATTTTAGGGGATTACGATCCCGAAATCCCGGATTTTTTTTGAATTTCGGGATCATTCGGGTGCCGGATTTTCCCGTAATGCCGGATTTTTTTTTAATTTCGGGATCCGGGATTTTTCCCCGTCGTTGGAACAACTTCCCCCATTGACGGGACAACTTCCCCTGTTGACGGAACAATATTCCCCGTCACTGAATCAACATCCCCCGTTCCCGGGATAACTTCCCCCGTTGACGGACCAACTTCTCCCGTCATTGGAACAACTTCTCCCGTCATTGGAACAACATCCCCAGTCATAGGAACAACACTTTGGTATTCTAGACATTTTTGGAGGTTTGGCATTACAAGCTTTTTGCATTACAAGCTCTGTATTTCAAGCTTTTGGCATTATAACACCATACCTTTAATTAAAAGCTTGGCGACTATTCGGCCGGCGACTATATGGCCCCGCGACTATTCGGCCCGCGACTATTCGGGCTGTACCCTTTATTTAATTTCGAAAAAATTTATTTTTAATTTTTTTAAAATTAAAAAAAAATTTTTTTTAATTTAGTTAAATTAAATTTTATTTAATTTTTAGGAAAATAAAATATTTAACAAAAATATTTATTTAATTTTTTAAATTAAAATGGATGTCTACAGACGATTGTATTTTAATTTTTTTTAATATTTTTAATAAAATTATTTTTAGAAGTTTTTCACCATCAAAACACTCAACTTCTTCTTCATTAACTAAAGAAGAGATCAATGAAATTTTAGAAAGGTTTTTTTTAAATTTAGTATTTATTTATTTTTTAATTTTTTGCTTCTTTGGTCCTAGAAAAAAATAAAGAAAAAGTGATCGTTCGATATTTTCGTTCGACACAAATTTTTAATTTCTTTTATCTTTCCTGGTAGGTAATCATGTACGCTGAATCCAAATCTGAACTTAGATTTTGTTTATTTCAAGCCCCGGACCCAAATTCGACAAAATCGAATTCGGGGTAAAAATTCAAGCGCTGACACTTTTTCCTCATTTTTTTCTAGGGACCAGTAAAGCAGAAGATTACCTTTTTTCAAATTTTTTTAAGTCCTTATGAAACAAATTATACTTATTCTTATACTTTTGCCTACAAAACAAATGTTGGAAATAGAGAATATATACACCCCAGGCTTTGTCGAAAATTTCCTATTACGCCAACAAAATTTGATCAAATTGAACGACAAAATATTTTTAAGAGAATTTTTATTTTATTTTCTTCACAAATTTTTAATTTCTTTTATTCTTTCACATCAATTTGGAGATACTTCTTTTCTAAAAGTTTTTGTTTTAAAATTAATTAATTTTTTAAAATTTATTTTAAAGGTTTAGCTTTATTTTATTATTTTTCAATGATTTCTAGTTATTCTTTTGAATCAATTACCACAATTAATTACAAATTTCAAAATTTTTTGAATGAAATTAAATATGTAAGGGTTTTATTTTTTAATTCAATTAACGCTTTAATTTTTAATGATTAATAAAAATATTATTAACTTGGGCTGACAAGGGAACCTTACGAACTGGGACACGCCCGAATAGTCGCGCGGCCATAAGGTCGCCAATCCATAACTTGCTTTAAGATTTTCGAATCTTTCCAAATTTACAATTAGTATTAAACTATTCCTGTCATCGAGCTAAAGAGATTTGTATCAAAATTGATAAGGGCCAGAAATTTTTTAGCAAGTTATGGCTTGGCGACTTTATGGCCGCGCGACTATTCGGGCTGTACCCTTCCGAACTGTGACGAAAAAAATAAAAAAAATTCGAAATTTTATAAAATTTTTATTTTTTGTCTTTTGAAATTTAAAAAAGTTTGTTTAAATAAGTTTTTCTAATTTTTTTCAAATTTTTAGAATTTTACAAATATTTTAAATTTAGATTTGGTTGGAATCTGAAAGTTATTGGAATTTTACTCGTTCAATTTTTTATTCAATTATTTTAAGAAAATTTACAAATTATTCATCAATTCGGAAACAAAAAATAAATAAACAACAAAAAATTAAAAATAAGAGGTTTTTAAAAATTATTTTTAAATTTAATTTTATTTTTAGAAAATTCTTCTTTCTAAATCTTTTAATATTTTTATTTATTCTTTATTTAATTTATTTATTTTTTCAACAATTTAAAGAAAATGAAAAACAGGAAGAATTTAATAAAATATGCCGTAATTATTTTTTAAATTTTTAATTTTTAGCTTTGGAAAATCAAAAATCTGATTTAATTAGTCCGTTTTGTTTAAATAAAAATATTTCTGATAATACCTCCTTTCTATCAATTACTGCAGAGTATCTATTTATTTTAAAAGAAAATACAACAAATATTGCAATAAATATTTATGAAAAATTTATTTACATTTTTGGTTTGTTTTTATTTTATTTTTAATCAAAAAAGGATAAAAACGGTTCAAAATCTTTGCTAGAAAGGGCACATTCTCTATCGAATGAGTCCGGTTTCGACCGTTTTTAGGTCAGACATTTTGCAACTTTTCGTTGTCAGCACTTAAATTTTTAATTTTTCTCGAGGGTTTTAAAGTTAATTTGGCTCTATTACACAATATACGTCCAATCAACTATTATGCGTCCAATCAACTTTTATACGTCCAATCAAAGTTCGTACGTCCAATGAAAAGTTTATACGTCCAATGAAAATTTATGCGTCCAATAAAAAGTTTATGCGTCCAATCAAATTTTATACGTCCGAACATATTTTTAGCACTTATAATTTAAAATAAATATAATTTAAGAAATACTTTTTAATAAAAAAAAATCCTTATTTCATCAATTAATTTCGAATGCTTTAGCAAAAATTAAACCGGGAATTGTATTCCAATTAGGGTTGCCGGCCCGGTTCGGTTCGATAGGTCGAACCGGGCATCGAATTTTGGCTCGAAAAAGACTTGGTGCCTGGTTCGATAAATTGAAGCCCGAAAAAATGACTCGAACGTCGGCCTTTTTCGAAAACGGCAACTCAAATATATGTTGAAAAATTTTGTTCACTTGTAGATATGGATCTCATAACGCGAATGCTTCTTAGAATAGTGATATGAAACTGGTACGTGATGGTACTGCAACTATATATGGGGAATCATTTTTTAATTTTAATGTTTAATGTAACAGACATTAAATCGTTTCTTAAATTTGTTTTAAATGTTAGCTCTTGAGCAAGGCATTATAATAAATAAAAATTATTTTGATTTTTTCTTAATTTATTTTACTGGACGTTTAAAAATCTATTTGGACGCATAAACTTTGATTGGACGTATAAAAATTTGATTGGACGCATAAATTTTTATTGGACGTATAAACTTTGATTGGACGTATAAAAGTTGATTGGACGCATAATAGTTGATTGGACGTATATTGTGTAATAGAGCCGTTAATTTTTCATACCTTTGTCACAATAACAATTTTTAAAATTAAATTCCGATTTTTTTGGTATTGGCTCTAAAAATCACTTTTGTTTGTAATTTTATGGAATTTCACATTCTCGACACATTCTAATCAAAAATTTAGAAATGCTCTTTAACTAAATTTATATATTCATTTAATTCATTTTTTAGAAAGTTCTTATTCAACTCTCGATGAAATATTCAAATCTCTAAAGGATTTAATTTTACAAATTTTTTCAAATTCGAAAATTTATTTTATTTCTTTCGGAGAAAAAGGTTTTTATTAAATTATTTTTATATTTACTTTGTTTTTTATTTTTAGTTGTCAATTTTTCAAATTATTCTGCTCAAATTAGTATTTTAATTTACCTAATTATTTTTTATTTTTTTTTTCAATAATTTTTTTAGTCGAAACAATCATTATTTGGATCTATAGCTGTCTGCTTCAAATATTTCAAAATTGTTTAAACATTATTATTTATATTTTTGATTATTGCAAAGAATTTTTTAATGATTTTAAACCTAAAAAGAAAGAAAAAATATTTTCGGAAAATTTGTCAATTAAAAAAGAGGAGGGGAAGGAGGTTTTTCTTACTATCAACCATATGTTACTGTCACCATGAATTTGATATTTTTTGGTATTATTCGATAGAAGACTCTCGACTTTCTATTGGATAGTGCTATCCGTTTTCTTGCAAAATGACTTTGGGCCGAGTTATGACCGTTCAAAGTCATTTTGCAAGAAAACGGATAGCACTATCCAATAGAAAGTCAGGGGGTCTCTCTCTTTTTAAATGTTAATTGAATTTTTAAAATTAAATAATTCCCAAAAAGAAGGGGGGTCTGCCATCGAATGGTACCAAAAAAATATGAAATTCGTGGTGACAGTGGCATATGTTCCCATGTTAAAAATAAATAATTAAAAATAATATTTTTTTGTAGACTAACGAAAATACTCAAAAAATTTTCTATCAAATGTTTGCTAAGGAAAGAATTTTCTTTCAACAAAATATCCACAAATTGATTCAACAAAATGTTTAATTTTATTTTTTTTTAATTAATTTTTTTTTAAAATATTTTAGATAAAAATTGAATTTTTAAAATTAAATAATTCACAAAAAGAAGAGAAAAATTTTGATAAATTATTGAAGGATTTTGAAGAAAAAATAATTAATTTATTTAAAAAATACAATGAAGAATGGAAGAAGAATATTAAATTAGAGATTGATGAGGTAATTATTAATAAAATTATTTTAATTAAAAAAATATTTTTTTATAAATTGAGGGAGCATTGATTTAAAAAAAATAAATTTAAGCTTACACAAGTATTTAAAATTTATTTATAATTGAGGGATAGAAAAATGAGAGACTTGTTTTTTTGACAAGTACAAAGGTGGGTCGGAATTCCGATTTCTCAAAAAATTTTGATTTGCGAGTTTCAACTTTTGAGCCAGTTCCGATTTCCGGTTCTTCCGATTTCCGACAGCTCTGACCGTTCCGACCTACCTCTGGAGAAGTATATGTATATCCAAATATTTTTAAATAAATAATTTTAAAATATTTTTATAGAAAATAGATCAACAAAATCAAATTTTTAATGATCAATATACACAACTTAGAGAGGAAATTAAATATTTAAAAAAAGTTCAAGAAGAATTTTATGACACATTAAACAATAGAGAAGAAAAAGAAATTATTAAAATAATCGAAAATAAAGTTTGAATTTTTAAAAATTTTTAAAATTTAAATTCAATTTAAGCAAGTAATTAAAGAATTAGATGAAAGTTCATTAATTGAAAAAGTTCGTTATTTAATTAAAAAAGAAATTCGTTTGTATGAAGCTGATCACACTGGAATGCCCGATTATGCATTGGAAAGTTCTGGTAAAATTTTGTGATATTTTTAAATGAAAATTTTTTTAAAGGCGGGTCTGTATTAAGTACTCGTTGCACTGTTCAATATAATGAAAAATCTAGAACTCAAAAACTTTTTGGGATTCCACTTTGGTATACAAGTTACAGTCCAAGGACTGTTATTCAAGTAGTTTTTTGGTATTTAATTGAAAAAAATTTATTTAAGAATTTCTCAAAATTAATTCCCTTTTGGTTATTTTTAAATTTTTTGTTTAATTTTAAAAAATTAAAAATTACCTTAACGTAGAGGGAAATGGGGGCGAGAATTTTAATTAAAGAACTTGAGGTTTTTTAAACATTATCTCCCCATTGAAAGCATTAGATAAAGCCAAATTATTTTCTATTTTTACACTAATTTAAAAAAAAATTTTATTTTTAGAGAAAAGGTTATGGAGCCTCTGCCGGTGAATGTTGGGCATTTTATGGAGGTCATGGATTTTTAACTATTGGTTTATCTGGTCGGATTAATGTTACAGCCGTTTCATATGAACATTTACCAATTGAATTATCACCTGATGGAAATATTAGAACAGCGCCAAAGAATTTTCTTGTTTGGGTGGGTAGGGGGTTTAAAAATAAATTTAAATAAAAAAAATTAATTTTTAAAATTTTAGAGTTATCAAGATATGGATAATATGCTTTCTCGTACGTTACTAGGCAATTTTACTTATAACGCGCAGGGGGAGCCTTTACAAATATTTCATGTCCAAGTAAAACTAAAATAATAATTTTATTTAAAAAACTATTTTTAAAGCATTGGGATTCTCGCTTAACAAATATTATTGAATTAGAAACTCTTACAAATTGGGGTTCTTATTTGACATGTCTTTACCGATTTAGAGTACATGGAGACGCATTGAAGGTTTTGAAATATTTTTTCGAAACAATAAAATGTAAAATGTTTTTAGATAATTCCTGATATTTCTGAAGAAACTGATGATGAAAAAGCCAAACGTTTATTTTCGAACAATCCAGTTAACTCAAATGAAGGGGATTTATAAATTAAAATATTAAATTTTTATTATTTTCAGATTCTCAATAAAATTATTTTGCAAATTTAAATCTCTTATTGTGCTCTTATATTTTTACAAAACCTTTTTAATAAATATATCATGAATTTTTTATTGGTTATTCATGGGACAATTTCCTTTGTATTTACTTATTTAGCCCCTAGAACTAGTCTGATTGTGAGATTATAACAGTCGCCTAATTTTTCTTGAATACTGCAAAAATTTTAATTTTATTCGTTAATAATTAAGTTATTAAAGGGTTCCAATTAGAACAATTTTTTAATTAATCAGATTTATTAACAGATTTATTAACATTTTTAACGTCTTTGTCAGTTTCTAGATATTGGATTGAATTCGATAGGACCGTAAAATCTAAGGAATTTTTATGAAGAAATTTTTAAATAAAATTTAGCAAAAAAGAGACAGTAATTTAAATATATTCAATTCTTCCCATCCTTTTGCCTTTCCTTTGTTTTATCAATCAAATAAAAAGGGTCAGCTAAGTTTAATTGTTTGCCGTGAAGATATTTGTCCCCTAAGGCTAAGCAATTATTTTGTTTAAAATTCTCCAGTAACTTCTTTTTCTTTTTATTTTTTTCCACGTATTGTCTATATTTATTTACTCCTTTCCCTCACTCTCAAAATGCCGATATTCAGACAATTCTTCACGTTCAAAAATTGTTTGCTTCCTTTTTTACTTCACGTTAAAAAGGAACTTTTAGAACAAAAGAAAATAAATATATAGTTCAAATAGAGGGTAAAACGCCCATAAACTTATAAACTTTATTTTCTCATTATAAGGAAAATAAGGAAGTTAGTATTTTCGTTTGCCTTTTAGAAATCCCTAGAATGTCTAAAAAATATTTAATTTTAGGTAATCAAAGTGTCGATAGTCAGATTGGGAGAAGAATATTTAAATATTTATTACAAAAACTCTTCTTCCTTTTTATTTAATTGAATGGCACTCAATCGACGTAAAAATTGTCAGTGTTCAATCAAGTACTTTCCCCTCTTTTTTAAATTAACTCATTTCTTCCGTATTCAGTTTTTCATTAACAGAAAAATTAGTTCTTTATTTAAATATTTAACCTCTCGTGTTCCTAAACTAATTTTAAAAATATTTTATATTAATATCAGAAAATGCCGGGTATGTGTATCGAGCAGAGACAAGCCCAAGTTCAAGCTCAATATAAATTTTTATATTTTTATTATTTTTGCCCTTTCAACCTAATGATACAATTATAATTTTTGTATAAATTCTGCTTCCATTTATTACTTTCCAAACGTGAGAAAAACTATTTAGTTATAAATTTACACCTTTCCGTTTAATTTTTGATATATTTATTAGGTGTTGAGAAAATCACCACTTTTCCTCAATTTTACTAGGTTATATTTTCTAAACATTGCTAAATACCAAACAAAAATTTAAAAAATAAATTTAATTTTTTTTTATTTTTCTATTTAAAATAATCCTCATTTTTTAACCTCTCTCTCTTTCCTTATTAAAAAATTTATGTATCTTAACATTTGTGTTCTTTTGCACCTACACTCATTCACTCTCCCTTCTTTTGATCTCTTTTTGATGAGTATGTGATAGGCGAGGTTTTTCGGCTCCGGTACAAAATATGGAATCGTTAAAATATGGAATCGTTAAAATCGCGAATAGGCTAAAAAGGGGTTAAAATACCGAATCGTTAAAATATGGAATGGTTAAAATATCGAATCGGGTAAAAAAGGGTTAAAATATGGAATCGTTAAAATATGGAATGTTTAAAATCTCGAATAGGCTAAAAAGAGGTCAAAATGTCGAATTCTTTTAAAAAGGGTCAGATGAGTGCCGTACGTTGATTATTGATAATTTTATCAGCTTATCAACCTATTGTTGATAATTTGATTGATAAGTTTCGTATGTCGTAGTCCGTCGCAATCTTTTCGGCCTGAGTTCACTGTATTTTACCGAGTAAAACCGGACCGGATAAATCAAGCATAATCGACCTGATCCGGTCCGGAATGATCGTGCGGATCCGGAAAACATAACGCGATCTTGATACGACAAATTAGAGTGGAGTGCCTAGCTTCTAATAAAACCCGGAATTTTTTAACTGTACCGTATACGGTACAGAATACCGAAAAATACCGATCAGCTTTTAAATTTTATCGGTCGGCATTCCGCACCGTACTAGCGAAACGGAATACCTAAAAATACCGTCGGTATTACGGCAACGCCCGGATTCTAGGTTTTGGCGCCATTTTTAAAAAAATTCGACATTTTGACCTATTTTGGCCGTGTCGACATTTTATCAATTCTATATTTTAACGATTCCACATTTTGACCCCTTTTTAGCCTATTCGAGATTTTAACCATTCCATATTTTAACGATTCCATATTTTAACCCCTTTTTAGCCTATTCGCGATTTTAACCCATTTTTACCCGATTCGAGATTTTAACCCTTTTTTAGCCTATTCCATATTTTAACGATTCGGTATTTTGTCCGGACACGGGTTTTTCTGGAGAGTAAATTAAATTTAATGGATGAAAAGGAGAGAAGATTATTTTACCAAAAACGTTAATGTATTCATTAAATTATGAATAAATTGATTGATTTTGGAATTGATTTAGAGAGGAAAATTTTTTTAAGGAAAAAATTTAAGGAAAATTTTTTTTTAAATTTTAATTCAAATTATTTAAAATAATATTTTTATAGTTTTTATAAAAAAAAATGTTTAATCAACAAGGAAATTCAAATCAAGACAAAAACGAACATTTAATTTCAATGTCTTCATCTAAACAAAATCAACAACAAAATTTAAACAATAAAAGTTATGGAAATGTGAGAAAAAAAATAAATTTAATTTAAATAAAATATTTTTAAGGAAAATTTTTTTGTTCACTCCCACCACCACCAACAACATCAACAACATAATTTTTATCCAACTCCAACTAGTTTATCTTCATCTCTTGGACATAAACGACAATTGACTGAAGAACATTTAAATCAAGAAGAAAAAGTAAAAAAAATCAAAAATAAATTAAAAATAAAAATTATATTTTTTAGGAGAATTGTGGAATTCCTTCCAATAAACGCCCTTATTTAAATACTCAAAAGAATTTATTTGAAAATATCCAGTCCTCTGGATCTGCTGAAGAAGATGCGGAAGACGAGGAAGATGAAGTTGAGGATGAGAGTGAAAGTAGTGGGGGACTTCGATCGGCTAAGTGAGTGAAGGATTTGAATTTTGAGGGACTTTAGATGAAATTTTCAAAGAAGACCCTAAGATAAGAAGACCCTTCCAATAAACGCCCTTATTTAAATACCCAAAAGAATTTATTTGAAAATATCAGTCATCTGGATCTGCTGAAGAAGATCGAAATTAGTAGGGTAACTGTTTTTACAGTGAAATATCCCGATATGTCCGCGTGCCCTCTCAAGAATATATGAGTCTTTAACTACCATAAATAAATTTAATTTTATATATTTTTCAGAACGAGTAGTAGCTCACCAGAATGTCCTCCACCAATAAAACAAGAACAATATCAAAACACTTCCGCTTTACTACAAAGTTTAAATTCTTCAGGTAGAGGGTCAAATTATAATCAACAGCAACAATTCCCTATTTACTCTACACCTCAACAGCATTATGGATATCATAATTTAATTTCTTCGACTGCTTCGACCTTTCCAAATTTTGGAAATGTAATTGTCTTTAAGATTATTTTTTTAATTTAATCCTTCAATATTTAAAAATCCTAACTTATTTCTCCAATTATTTAGATGCATTCTGCCCCACTTGCACATTCAACACCTTATAATCTTGAGCAAGCTACGTTGCGAAATTTGCAACATGCTGCGATTTGGGGTAATAAAAATTTGGACTTTTTTCTTTTTTGTTTTTAGAATTTTAATATACTTTTGTTTAAAATTCTGATAAATTTTAACTATTAATTTATTAATTTTATTAAAAGGTCAAGCTGCTGCAGCAGCTGTTGGGAATTCAGTTTTCCCGTCAATTCGTCCACCAAACCGCCACCAATATAACCTCTCAGGAGCTCAAAGTTCCTCTTCTGGCGGCGTTGGTTCTTCTGAAAATATTCAAATGACCCCTTATGGTGTATATGGATATCCTTTAAATTATCCCCAGCAAATGCTCCAAAGTGGATTATTTGCGTCTGGTGGGCAGGTGGTAAAAAATTAAATTTGTTTAAAAATAATTTTTAAAAATTATTTTAGCAACAAATAATTTCCTCTCAATTAAGCAATTCTTCGACATTTAGCAATGCGTAAATTTAAAACGTTTTTTAAATAAAAATAAAAACTTTTTTAGTAGAGATAGCGGTGTTGCAGGAATTGAAAGAATAATTAAAGGTGTTTTTGAAGAATTTGAAAAATAGGTATTTTTAAAATATTAAGATATACAAAAGAATGAAAGTAGCAGTGGAGGTTCTTCTGAAGAAAGTGCTTTAAGTGGGAAAACAAGCCAAAGTTTGGATTTGGCTTTTAACGGTGAATTTAAATATTTTTTGAAATTGTTTTCAGTAAAAGTGCCGTTTGTGTTTCCCCTTTTTTCTCATTTTTTCATCCCCCAGAGAAAAAGAAAAAGAAGAGCTTTTCGATATTTTAGAGGTTTGTCAGTAGGTAATCGAGTATGATGTCATATTTTATTCATCGAATCCCGGACCCGAAATTCGAGCTCGAAAGGACGTGTCAGTTTGTAATTTCTAATTTAATTCATCTGGTTGAATTTTGGGTCCGGAATTTAAAACAAATAAAACCTGGCCTTATATTCAAACTCACAATCAGCATACTCGATTAGGGAAATCTCTTTCTCTTATTTTTGGGGAAGATAAAAAAAATTAGAAAAAGTGAAAACACAAACAGCACTTTCACCCTGTTTTCTATAATATTTGAATATTTTTTAATTTAAATTATACATATATAATATAAAATAACTAAAATTACTTTACAAATTTTTAGAGCCAAAATTCCCGCCTTATATGCGATGGATTACTTATAATGGAGAGAGACAATTACTTGACCTTGAAATGATTTTTTATGAAAAATCTGTAAATAATTAATTTAAATTTAATTAATTAGTTTAGGTCCCGGCTCGTCTCTCATTGTTAAATAATAACAAAAAATATCCAATATCGTTAGCTGAATTATGTAGAAGGTTGAGTATGCCAGAATGTTTGAATACCTCTTACTTGAGTGGAATTCTTCGAAGGTAGGGATAAAATAAAAAAATTTTCCCTTCGGTCCAGAGAAATTTTAAAAAGAAATTTAAATTATTTTTAGAAATTATTGACAAAACCTTTCTTTATTTTTTAAAATACTTGTGTTTAATTTCAGAGCTAAAAATAAAAATGGAGGTAAAAGTTTGAGAGAAGATTTGGGTAAATATGACTGCGGTCTAAATCTCCAGCCTGGAAAACGTAAATCAAGTTTAGTAACAGCATTCTCTACACTTTGTGAAAGTAAAAAATAATTAAAGATTATTTTAAAAATAAATTTAAGGAGAGGCTATTCAATTGGCTGAAGATTTTGATAAATTAGTTAAAGACCCAAGTAATGGATTCCCTCATCATCATATAGCTATGGAAATGCATCGTCGAGGGAATCAAAGTCTTGATGATATTAAAAGCTCTATGTTGGTATTTACAAAATTTTAGGGATTAAGCTTTGGGAATCAACAAATTTAGTTGCTTCCTTTGAATGGAATGTTTTTGTTAGGGGAAATCCCAAAAACTCTGAGGAAAAATCTAATTTTAATATTTTTGATCGTTAAGACTGAAGAGATTTAATTTTTACCCGGACATTATTTCTTCCCAAAAACTAAATTTTATAAAATTAAATTCCTAAATTAAAAAGGGGAATACTTCGAGAGGCTATTTCAATTGTTCAAACAGCAACTGAACAAGAAACACTTGAATTAACAATGCCTGGAGAATTAATAGACCCACAACAATTACAAATGCAGCAATTAATGCCTGACACTCTTAATCAATTTAAACGTTTTGCAAGGGCCAGTCAAACTAAAAAAATTTTTTTAAATTATTTTAAATAGCTAAAAAGGCTGTTAAAATTACAAAAAAATATAATAGCAAATGATATTTCTAAAAATATTTTTGGAGAAGTAATTGACAAACTCAGCTATCCACTACTCAACATTATAGTCCGGACTGGGAGGGTCGTACGAGAATCGAGATCTCGAAAAACCGAGATTTTTGATCGAGATCTCGGTCCGGTTTCTACTCAACATTCCTCTTCTTTTTTTTCACAAATTTTCTTCTCCTCAATTATTTTTGCTAATATATGTATTTTTTTAAAATAATTTTTATTAATTAAAAGTTTTCAAAAAAATATTTTCTTTAAAAAATTCCAGATTTCCCATTGTTTTGGCAATAGAGGAATTATTGCTTGTTGGCAATCACTTCTTGCTGTCTTTACTCAATATGCAAGTTTTCATGAAGGTGACAATAATAACCAACAATCTTCCTCTTCCTCGTTGAATATTTAAATTTATTATTATTTTTTCACATGGATATTTGTACTTTTTTAAAGAATTTTTTAGTTTTTTAAATATAAAATTTTTTGTAATTTTTGTTTTTAAAAATCTTTAGGTTATTTAATCGAAGTTAAAAATGGGGATTATAGTACTAAAAATTTAAAATCTTTTTTTATTTTTTTACAAAAATTTATTCTCTAATTTTTAAAATTTATTAAAAAGTTTACATTTAAGTTTATAATTTAAATAAAATTTGCAACTTTCCCTTGACAAAAAAGATTTAAGTCTTTATTTACAATTAAGTTTTTTTCTTAATTTTGAAATGAATATTGAGAAATAAATTATTTATCTCTTAAAAAATTGTCAATAAATATATTTATTTTCCATATTACATTTTCATTAAAGTGCTTTCCTTCTTTTTATTTCCGCCATTCTTTCTAAATAAATATTTAAAAATAAAATGTCTAGCAATTAAAAATAATCAAATTAAAAAATACTTTCCTGTTTACAAAAATAATTTTATAAAGCGGTAATTGTCAATCCTTCCACACAAACTTATATTTAATTTTGCTTATTTAGCTTAGATTTGGGTTTTATTTATGCTCAATTTAAGAATAAACTTAATAAAATCAAGTATTAGTTAAATGTGACTATTCAATTAAGAACATACTAAAAATCCCTCAGAATATTAACTTTCTTCGTTTCTATTAAATTTCCAAATTATTTTAATTTTGTTTATATCATCGCCAAAAAAATTTATTTTAATTTAAATTATTTATTCAGAAATTATGAAATTATTTATTTTATTTTTGTTTGGAAATATTTTAAGAATTTTTGGACAACAAGAAGAAGAAAATTATGGTTATTTATTTTAAAATTACCGTATTTCTTCTAATAGTGCGAACTCTATCTATTAAACCGACCCCTTCTAATAAACCGACCTACTAGAGGAAGGTTGAAAAATAAACTGACGTCGGACTATTAGAAGAAATACGGAAATTTTATTTTTAAATATAAATTAATTTAGGTATTAAAGATTTAAATAAAGAATATTTAAAATTAATATTTGATGAATATCCAAATTTTGAAGAAATGTCTTCAAAATATTGGCAATTAAGTGCTTATTTAATTGATAGAGATATTAGCAATAAATGGATAAATATAGAAAAAGAAAATAAAAATAATAAAGGGAAAGGGAAAAAAATTAAAGGAAAAATAAATTTAATAAAATCAAAAAATTTGATAAAATTAAAAGAAATATTTGGAAAAGTTTTGGAAATAAGAGAGGAATTAAATAAAGAATTGAAAAAAGAAAAACAAAAAATTAATTGGCAAAATGAGGCTAAAAGATTAATATTTATAGATTTAGAATTTAATAAAAATATTGGGATTAATGTTTTAGAAAATAAATGGGATGAAAATAAATGGGAATATCCTTTAGATAAATTACATATAGAAATATTTAAAAAACTTTTATTAAATAAAAATTCTGATTTAAATAAAAATATTGAATCTATGGAGGAAATGGAGTATTTTAAATGTGTTGAAATTAAACAAAAAATGCGTAATGTATTTGGACGGGAAATGTTTTCGAATTTGGAAATGGAGGACCCTTTTAAATTTAGATTAGGTAAATGTATTAAATAATTTTTTGGAAATCTTTTTTTTTGTTTCAAGATTTAAAAGTGTATTTTAGTTCTGTAATTGTTTAGAGGTTAACACACACCCTATTTACATCAATTGGGGAAAATTAAGATTTTGAATATAGATAGTAGATAACTGTAAATGCTCTAATATAAGCTCTGGGCTTATATTTTTCAATGGGTCTCCTCGGATGGGCTTATACATTAGAATAAGAAAGTAGGACATGTTCTGAAAGTAGGACAAAAATAAAAAAGTTTTTTTCACAAATTTGGTGAATCAAAAATTAAAATTTTATGTTAATTCACCAATACATTAACACTAATATTTATTATTATCTAATTATTTAGTCAATTATAAAATTAAAATTATTTTTTTAAAGATATTTTAGAGACAAGTGAATTTTTAAAACTTTTGGAGATTTATCTTTCAAATCCTATTGTAACCACATTAGCACAAAAGTCTAGAGTTATTATATCATTTTACATAATATTTGAGGATATTTTGACAATTTTAAATGAAAAAGTAGGGAAAGAAAAAGCAAAAAATAAAATTAAAAATTTTTGGCAATCAAAAATAAATAAAATATTAGACAAAACTAAATCAAATGATGAAATATATAATTTTTGGAAAGAAATTAATAAAAAATATAATTTGGATCAAGGGACTCAAGAAGCAAAAGTATCAAATTCACTTAAAGAAATATTTTTAGAAAATTATGAAAAAAATAAAATAAAAGATTTTTTGGATAAAACAAAAGGATCGAGAGCAAGACTTTACAAATATTTTAGAACAGACAAGACGGATGTACAAATATTAAGAGAAGAGGATCCACTGGCAATTGCTTTACGTTTTGGTAAATATATTAGTCTATTTAATGCACAATGGATGAAATATAGGGTATTTAGGGATGGATACTTGCTATTTTAAAATTTAATTAAATTCTAATTTCGGTAAATTTTCCATTTTTAACCCTTCGATACGTATATTTATTTATTCGATGGATCAGGAAAAACAAATAAAATACTCATCCATTCTTATACATAAAGTAGCAAGAATAAATTTTAATAAACTCTTCATTAGACTGAACAAATATCCAGTTACCCTCTCCCCTTTTAGCTCTATTATGAAATACAACAGGCAAACTAAATCGAAGACATGTCCGAACCAGACCTGGGCGAAACTCCAAATTTTTTTTGGACGAAACGAAACGAAACAAAAATTTTTAAAAATCGTTTCGTTAACAAAACGAAACGAAACAGTCAGAATTTAACGAAACGAAACGAAACAAAACGAAACATTTTAATTTCCAAAAAAATCTCAAAAAACCTAATTATTTTATTAATTATTCAATTTTAAGCTTGTTAATTGGCCATTAATGACATTTATACCATCATATAATTATGTGGGACCACAAATTGTGGTCCCATTAGCCATGGGGCAACAATTTTTGATCCCAATTTGTGTTTAGCCATTGCAAATCATTTTAAATGTTCATTTTTCTCTTAATTTCACCTAATTCCCTATATCGCCATCAGGCCCATAGCCAGGATTTTTTTGTGGGGATAAAGGGAGGAAAATTTACTGCACCAAATTTTCGGCGCCGCTGAAAATTATGATTTTCAGCGGCGCAGGCGAAAATTATGAAAATTTTAGAAGGCTGTAGACCAACAAATTCCTTTTTTCTGCGCCGCAGGCGAAAATTTTTTTAATTTGAAGGCTAATAGGCCAGATTTCTTCTTTTTTCAGATAAGGTAAAAAGGGCAAATGCCTCCCAAATGAGCCTGGTACAAACTGAAACAGGGTGGTATGTACACTTGCCTCGATATCTCTTCCCACAAAATCCCTCGATATTACTATTAATCCCCCAATTTCTCCGATATCCCCATTAAGCATAAAAATGGGGATATCGGTGTATAAAACATAGTCGAGTATAGAACATAATATGAAGAATTTTTGAACAAAAACATATTGTCAATTGAAAAAATCAAAAATAATCTTGTAAATTATGCGCTGAAGACTCTTAAAATTCAGATTTCGGCGCCGCAGGCAAAAATTTTTTGAATTTCCATCACCAAAGTGGAAAATTTTTCAGTTTTTGAGTGATATTTTGGCTTAAAAAGTACCTAATGTTTCGTTAACGAAACACAGGTGTTTCGTTAACAAAACGAAACGAAACAAATTAAAAAGTGTTTCGTCACGAAACGAGACGAAACAGTAAAAAACATAACAAAACTAACGAAACAACGAAACGAAACGTTTCGCCCACGTCTGGTCCGAACAGAACCAGATCCCTACTTATCCCCAATCAATTAATTCGCAAAAAATAATTTTCCTAAAAATATTTTTTAATTATTTAAAGATATAAATATCAATATATTATATGATTGGCTAAAATATTGTTATATAAAATCATTTGAAGCAAAAAACGACCTAGAAATATATGAAGCAAAAAGTGCTGTTGATATACTTCTTTATATAAAATCATTTGATAATTTTTTTGAAGAAAATAAAAATATTATTCCAAATTTATTAATTAATTGGATAAATATTCGTTCTTTAATTTTTCTTTTTATTGAAAATTTACAAGAAGAACAGCCAGATAAATCATTAAATATTAAATTAATTAATTTATTTAAAAATATAATTTATAAAATAAAAATATTTATTGAAGGAAAAGGGGGGAAAATAATTGGAAGTAAAAAAGAAAATAATTTAAAAAATTTAGAAATAAATGAAAAAGAATGGGATTTATTTGGGTTGTTAAAAGAAGAAATAAATATTTTGGAAAAAGAAAAATTTGATGAAATTTCAATTCCTCTTTTACCAGAATTAAATAATGAAAAAGAAAAAGAAGAATTAAGATTATTATTTGAAATTTATTTAAGAAAATTAGCAGAAGCAAGTAAAGAATTTAA